TAAATGCTTAAGATTGCAATTGAAACCAGATACTGTGGGCAACGAAAAGCCAACCCTCTTAATAAAATAGCTGACCTTCTTCAGAAAGATCCATAGTAAAAAACCTTGTAACAATGAGCTATAAAAGATTCTTCTAGTAAATAGACTCTTATTGGCCCTGTCAAGCAATATGATTGATTATAGCATATATACAGATTATGGCATGCTTTAGACAGGTGTCTATCTGCAGTCTTGTGAAATACCTTAATGTTTTTTCCCCTTGGGAAGGTACTTGTAACATATTGGGGTCCCAGGGGTGGCCATGGTGCTCCCTGGTGGCTCTGTGACTGTGACCATGCCCTGCTTTGCCCCTAGGGCACCCCCTCTGTCTCGTCTGCCATGCTTTGATGGTATTTATAAATATGGGGAGGCTGCCCATAGGCCTTTGCTAGGCCTCAGTTCCACTGGTCCCAGGCCCCTGGCTGGGCTTCGGCAGCCAACTGTGTCTGGCAGGGCACCCCAAAGCCTTAAGGGGTGATTTTTATATGACTCCAAATCCTTCCCTTTACCATGCCCCATGCCTCAAAGGTGTTACAGGTATGTTGTCCCTCTGTTGGGGCTTCAGCCTCCTCTGCCTTTGCCCCTTTAATTTAGCTAGGCCTTCTAGCCTTGGCTCACTGAATTGGACCTGGCGTAGTGGCACTAGCTTTGTTTGTCCCTTCCAGTCACCGGGCTCCTGGCCCCTCTGTGGCTGCACCTGCACCCGGCAGGGCTCAAGGCAGTCAAGTGCCTCCTGCACACTAATGAGGCCTCCGTGTCCCCTACAGCCTCATTCCAAGCCACTGGTCAAAACAACAACACGAGCCCCTGGGCTGTAACAAATGACAACAGAGAAAGCAGTTTTCTGTCCCTTTAAGAGGGCAAATCTTTCTCCCCTTGTGTCAGTGTAGCATGGGCTCCTTGTGAGCTCCCCAAGCCTTGGCATTCCTACAGGCTGCAAGCCTGGTGGCTCTCCTGGACAGGAGCTCCCTCCCCTGTAGTAGCCAGGGAGAGACTCCCCTGCCTGGCCTAGCCTTGGGCTTATATACTCCCAGGCCTCTGCCTACATCCCGTCAGATGACTGCCTGGGCTGGCTGCTAATTACATCATTGGCCCAGTTGCCCTGGCAACTGGCAGCTTGCTTCCTGCCTAGCCTGGCTGGGCTGCTTTTCCTCTTAAAGGAAAAGAGAGCCCCCCAGGCTCCCTGTTACAGTACTGTACTGGTTTTTGAAGCCAGTGTGGTTTGGACATACCAAATCATTGTACAGGATGGAAGGAAAAAATAGCCTCAAGAATGAGCATTTAACTTTTTAAGAAAAGTGAAAGTAATACTACTGAGCTGCTGTGTCTGAATCCTTACATGCTTCAGCAATGCAGGGTTTTTATAGGACATCAAGTGGATAAACATGAAATTATCGGTACAATTTGGCACATGGTGCTTTTTCATGAAACAAGAGAACAATTACTATTACAAGTGGGCATTTTGTATAAACCATTATTTTCTTGAAGACTCATCACCTTTGGGGAAAAAAAACATGTATGGTTATAAAGTTGCCTGAGATGGTTCTCCATAGAAGCCCTGATTAGCGGGCTAAAACACTTCTGTAAACTCTATCTGATAAGACCTTACCTCCAAATTCCCGGAAGTCTTTGGGGTGTTTCCATTGACTTCAGTGACCTTTAAATTAATCCACTCTAGTCTGAATTAAATCAATAAAAAAGAAGCCTTGGTTTAAAATGACCAATTCCAATCTTATTCTTTTATTTTACTTTTTTTTTTAAGCTCTATTCCTAAAGTGGGGTTGATTCTCATTGGCCAATTAGTCATTAAGATGTATTAATTTGCCTTTACACTAAATTCAGTGCTACTTTCGGTAGCCAGGAAGATAGATTGTCCTTCCACCCCCATTTAAATAGTTATATAGCTGAATTCTTAATTTTTCCATTTTATTCTGCTGGAAAACAATAAATAACACTAGACTTTTTTTTTTTTTTTAACTCCATGTTTTCTGTCAAACTGCTTTTGGATGGAAATTGAAATTCAATTAAGAATGCATAAAAACAGCAATTTTAAAACTGATTAGTTAAATATGCTGGATATATAAGAAACTTTCTTTTTGCATATATGGCTGATTTATTTTATTATTATTTTTTGTGTGTGGATCAAAATATGGAAGTACTATCCAAAGTCTATGAATAAACTAATTGTTGCTGGTCATGACTCAGTTTTAGAACTAGCCAATTCTAAATCTGGTTCATTTTTTGGAAAGGGTAAACAAGGTTTCTTGCATTTTCAGCTCCCAGTGGGTTTCTTCCATTTGAACAAACTACTTAGCAAAAGGAATTAAACTGAAGTAAGCAAAAACCTTTTCTGCACCTATTGAGGAGGCTATAGCTGTCAACATTTATTTCATCACTTCAATAAACAGACTTTGGTTCCAGGTGTTTATGATCAGCACTCAGTCCAGTGGTTTGATGCATTTTGGGGGTTTTTTTAAGCTTTGAATGTTTGCATTTCACTTAAATTAACCTTTTAAATAGATGCCTATAATTTTAAGTTTTGGGGTTTTTTTTTAAGCTTTGAATGTTTGCACTTCACTTAAATTTAACCTTTTAAATAGATGCCTATAATTTTAATCCGTACTAAATCATTAATTATGATCTACCCTAGTTCAGGCCTTAAAGCAACACATTTGACCTCTGATTTGTCGAGCTCCAGTGGCCAGGAGTATATAAGTAATTCCACTATCTTTGAGGCATCTGTCCCTTTGTCTTATGTGCTTAAAGATGAGCAACTGCTCAAATGTTTTGTGTTGGGATAGTGATGGTTCCTATGTGAAACCACTTTTCTGGAAGTTGTCTTTAGGACACGTTGCAAGAGCAAAGAGTGTAGCACTGCTTTTCTATGCATCCTCGAACTCGTGATGGCTAATTCTCTTGTGGGTCACTTGCAGAAACCTGGGATGAAAGGAACCTGAATAATAACAACTCCCCCCCCCCGCCCTTTCTGTGTGGTTTTATAATTAAAACCTGTTGTTGTAACTCTTCTCTTCCTCCTCTTTTATTTCTATTATGGTGAAACTTCTGATGGAAGAAGGTGAAATCAACGGGGAATTTTCTGATTTACTTTTGAGAAGCTGGCAAACTACCTCAAAGGACACTTTTCCCCCTCAGAAGGCTAAGGATAGAAGTTAATGCTTAATTCATTCTAACTTGGAGGACAGCCAGCTGAGCAGGGGGGTTCCTTCAACATGTGCTATTCACTGTTCTCTAATTCAAGCTTCCCATTCCCTCTTATACCTTTCTTGGTCTCTTTAATACCCAGTCAGGAAATCCTGAATTTTCTCAGTTTGCAGGTTGTTGTAAGGGATGCAAATTGAGATTCCTATTCACTTTGGCCAGCTCTGGATTAAGATGCACCTCCATCCATACTTTTTTGTCTGTATGAAGGAAGCTTCACCCTGTCCCTGTTCTCCATGCCTCCCGCACACCTTGGGCTTTAGTGCCAGTTCCTCAATGCCGAGCTACCCACGACAGCAACTTGCATATTCTAAATGTATATTTGGAAAGCCCATGAGCAGTAATGTTAATCTATGAAGATCCATATGAATTATGCACTCTATAATGGCAAGTAGAGAAAAATTGTATGTAAAAAGTAAATACCCATATCAATTGCATTGTGTGTCTTTAAGCCAGGTTTCCTTCCTGAAAAAGTCTGCATTGCCAATTATTTCTAGTTGTGCTGAAAACACTAAGTTGAGGCAGACTGTCAACAGTTAGAACATTTCCCATTTGGGCATCTTTCCTTAGCTCTGTCTTTGGATGCAGATACTTTTATGAATAGTTATTCATTCATATGGTGGAGGCCTACTCAATATTCATTTGTACGAACACAACACAATAAGCTAGTCCTTGCCCCAGAAAGCCTCCAGTTTCAATCTGGTGAAAAGCAAGATGTGAACACTGAGAGAACAAGACATCTTAACATAACTTGACAGGTTGGAAAATGACTTCCCGTAGTTTTAAGATGGAGTGCACAGGCTTGGGGGTGGGAGGGGGTTATATTCATTCTTTTGTCTTGTGCAGAATCCACGTTTGATCTTTCATTTGAGTACAGTATCTCCTGGAAGAGAAAGTGTCTCATTAAAACAAAAAATGATATATAGCATCTATTAATCAATGGGATGGAAATGCTTAACACCCTGAACCCAGTGTTTAAATGTGTCTCTTAGGGATCAATATTGTTTCCAAGTAACTAAAGCAAAATCAATACCAGACACAGACTTCATTTTGGTTACAAATCATTAGGTTCCAGTGTTTCTGAACTTTTTTTGTTTGTAGCTAAAATTGCCTTTTAAAGAGTAAACTTTACCCAAACAACCCCTCTAAATTATGCGGTTTAGATAAAGTGTGTGTTTCTCGCAAGGCTTCATTCATTAGTTACTCCTGTGGTTCTGCTGTGAAACACTGCTCTGAATAAGGTGCCTGAAGCTTTCTGCCCCCAGCCTGCTCCTAAGACTATGTAAACACGAGCTCTAGCCCATGTACTTTGCTGGGCTTCTAGGTGGGGAGGGCAAAGGAGCATAGCAGTAACTTTTCTGCCAGACGAGCACCAGAGGAACAGCTCTTTGTAGAGTGCCACAAGGATGTCCACTGGATGGGTGCTCCATTAGGGCATCCAGCTCTCTGCCTAGCTTATCTGGTGCAGAGAGCAGATGAAATCTGCAGCTGCTCTGTTTTTATTTTTACAGAAGTTAATAAATATTAGGGAATGTGCACATATTGTTGCAATGGCACTGAAAAGCCATCCTGCCTTCTTCGTGGGATTCGGGGCAGCCATCAGAAGACAGCAAGAAATGCTGTCCTAGGCAGGGGCTTATCAGGGGAACTGAGACTGCCAGTCAAAGTGAGCAGTTACTTGCAGCACCACTGATGATGCCCTTATGCTTCCCATCCCCATGCTAACCTTTACTGTTGTGCAGATTGTCACATGGATGGCTCAGACCCCTCATGGACCTGATGTTTGTCCCCTGACCTGATGGAGGCACCTCAGTTCCCTGAAGGAGAGGAGGAAAATCGGTGTGAAAGGTAAGGAAGAGACAAGCTGGAAGCAGTGATACGTTTTAATATCTCCTTCTGGCCACCTCTGAGATCTCTGAACTGTTCAATTTTCCCTCCCCACTTTGGCTACATGACTATATCAGGGCTGTCTTCTGCGGGCTTGAGTAACAGTGTGGGCCAGGGGTCAGGGAAGAGTCTTCGTGCACGTGTGAGTGGATATGAAGTGTGATCAGTGACCTGTACTTCAGTCATCCCTCTCTGAAGTTACCTACATTTTGTGTGAATACTCTGGCCAGTGCTAGTGCACTCCTGATATTCTGCAACTTGGAATAGTTATTTCATTCAAAGCTGTTCTTTCTGTTCCAGCTGGTGGTATAAAAACAAAAAAGGACTGCTGGTCCTTGACTCTCACTGCTGTTGCATCTCAAAATATCCCCCACTGTACAAGCAAAGCCCTAGGTGGGTGGATAAGATCCTAAAATGGTAATGTAGAAAGTCAACATGCATTGTGTTATCCTAGAGTCCTACATTCTTAGAATGTAATACAGAACTCTTCATGGGCTAGATGCATAGCAGCCTGACATGGAAGTAAAAGGGGAAAGGAGTTAAGGATGAGCCATACTTGCTCTTTTACAAATTCAAAAAGGAGAATGAATCAGTTTCTCATTCTAGCATAGCTGAAACTATACACATTTGTCTCATGCAGGCCAAGAAGAAAGAAGTAGTGCTTTTGTGGGTCATCTGTGCTATGTTGAAACATCACCCATTCACAGTCCTTTGTTAACTCTTCCACTCAGTCATTGCCCTAGAGTGCTAGCAACCATTCTTTAAAGAATCCCACACCTTGAACATTTGACCTGGATTGCAGATGCACACAAAATAATAGGTCCATTGCAAAACTGTATCATCATTAGCTATGACCTGTACGACATTCTTCCTACTTACATTAACTAGACTTTTAATAATTGCTCTTGGTTTTTTTCCCCATTAGCTGATACGCACATAACTAAAGGCACTGCCATTTCATTTTATCCTGGCTAATTTTTGTTAAGTTGCCTTTTTGGTGGGTCATTTATTGTGTTTTGTCCAATTGGCTGTTCCCAAGGTAAAGAGAAACTGAAAATTCTGAAGCCAATATTTTAGTGTTTTTCCTTCAAAATTCAGTAGTGTCTGATGCAGACTCATACCATAAGTTGCAGATGAATCCTACAAGCTCTGCTTATAAATTTCTATCAGCTTTACATTTGAGTAGTGCATTGCCCTGGGACTGCAATGGTTTGCTTTGTACTGGGCGCATCGACATGTGCAATTAAGGCACATGGATAAACTCCGGAGCTCATGAACTGGAGTTTATTGCTCCCGAGCATCACAGCTTCACATGTGCTTGGGACCACAGCATGTTGAGCTGTGTTGGAGCAGCCCAGGGGGTCAGCCTGCCAACCTGGGGTTGCTCCCTGTGGCTCAGCGTGCTGTGGATGGGCTGGCTGAAGCACCCTTATGCTCCAGCCAGCTGAGACTGTGTCTACACATGCGCTACTGTGGAGTTTTTTACTTTTATGTACAATGCTCTATCCTGCTGCAGAGTAAATTTAGTGTAGTTTACTCCAGCCTAATAGGGGCGCACACATAGATGCACAACGATTAGTGTGCAACTAATTCATCTACTGTGCAGTAAAGTCTTGTTTAGATGTGCCCACTCTGGATTAGATTTCTTTTAGTAGATCTCTGAACAATCCAGAAGACCCCACAGCTGTCACCATGCCGATCTGTTAAGTGGGCTGATGTATTACATGTGCAATTAAAATGCTAGAGCAAAGCCAGACGTAGTCCTGTCAAAGTAAAAGGGACTTTCAGCTGCGAATGGAATGGAACTTTGACAAATCTGCTGAAAGTTACGAAGAGGAAGAAAGTCTGCAGGAAGAAAGAGACGAAGCCAAATAGGCTGTGATTGGAGCTGAATGAATATAGATATAAAGTATTTGAGGATGTTCTTGCAAATAAAACCTGCTGATTTGATTTGCTGATATCTCATACCATTTTAATCACTTTTTTGTGAACATCTGGTTGAGCTAATTCTTATTCACCAGAACAAAACATGGAAGACAAAAGCTTCATGAGTACTTGCATATATTTCACACCAGAAGTACTCTTCCAGCCCTTCTGAAAAGGTCTTTTTATTTCCTTGGCACAAAAGATCGTCAAACAATTATCCACAGCAAGCTTTAAAATCACAACCTGTTTGTAGATAATTCACAAGAGGGGGGAAAAAATGACTTCCAGCATTCAAAATGCCACTTATCCAAAGAAGGAATAGAAATAATAACATACAATATAGTGAACTAAGTCATATGAGATAAAAGGGTGAATGCTCCTGGCAACCAATATGTGAAACCGAACTATGGCCTAAGTAAGATGATGATTTTCCATATAGCTATTTAATTTAATTATATTTGTAAATGTTGTATAAGAACCTGAGGGAGAGATTCTGAACAGAAAAAGAGGTAATATGATCCAATAAACTGTAACAAATTTGACTAAGTAAAACAACGTGTGAAATGTAAGGAAGCAGGACACCACCTTGTTAAGATTCAGATAATTCTTTGGTCAGCTGTTCCTCTGGATTTTTTTACTTTGTTTCTTTCTTTTTTCACACTCCTCCATTGAAGGGAGTAGAAGTTACCCACAATAGTCTGAAGCTGGGTGGAAAACAGGTCAGGTAGTACCTCATAGACCAAGTTAGTCTACAAGGCGCCACCCTGCCCTGCCTTTTTCCATAAAATAAGTATTACAGAAAGTCAAGTAACAAGTTGATGCCTTATTCTAACTTAGCATCACAGTCAATGTCAATTTTAGTCACTAATCAACTTTGTCGCCTCCATATAATTTGCTAAGAACTATTTACACTCAAATCCCCTGACATACTAAATTGAACCATTGGCTGCCACTAAATGAAAATAGAGAGAACTCTGTTTTTTCTCTCACAAAATAATGAAAGTGCTTTTTCTTTTATGAACCATTGTTCCTCAGATCAAAGGCAGCCTAGGTTTTTTGCAGGCGGCTACTTCTAACTCTTTCAAGTCCTTCTTTTTTATCACATTTAATGAGTGAAATGACAAAGTCATTTCTATGAATATGAACCAGTTGAGCTGCTACTGGACTAATAGTTAGAAATGACCTAAAGAAGGATCAGCTGGGGGAAAATATACCTTGTGTGGCTTTTCAATATATGGCGTATACCAGCATTTGGTATATGACTATTTATGAAGCCCCTTTCATGTTCAATGGGTTCTAAAGATTTTTGTATGGCATATGGGCCTGGGCAACTGGTGACTCCTTAGTCAGGTGCCCCCCCCCCCCCCCCTCCCAGCACCAAGCCAGGGATAAGCCGCTGGGGGACCCCACCCTCAATCTCACTGATGGGGAGGAGGATCCCCCTGCAGCCAATCTGAGAAGTGGCCGCGGTGCTCCCGGAAGCAGCCGTGGCGCTCCCACTCCCTGTCCAGTGCTTGCGGGGGGGCACTGATGCACCCAGCTACCCCCGCTGCCCCTCACCTAAGCTGCAAGCACAGCTTGTCAGGGGGTGCGCTGGTGCTCTCAGAGGTTCACATACACCTCATATGCGTCGCCACTGTATATGGGTAAGGCAGTGCAAGATCCTCTTGCTTTTCTACCTGAATGGTTGGCAGACACAGCTTGAAGAGGCAAAGTCTGTCACTCAGGCCCCTGAGATGATATTTCCATCAAGCAACAGGTATAATTGCTTGATGAACACTGTTGCAACAAGTGATCTGTTTTATGTTCACAGGGAAGGCTATCCATCAGGAAAAAAGTGCCCTTGCTCTGCTAGCACTTCTCAGCAAGGGGAGCTGGAGAGCTGCTTGGTAGGGGCTGTCATCCTCCCCTTGCCTTCAACTATGCTACTAATGAGAAATGAACTCTAAGCTCACCGTGAGCTCTCCCTGGGTGAAGGAGCTTGTCCTCTGCCCCTTTTGCAGACTAGGAAAGACCTGTGGGAATGGTGGGGGGGTCGGAGACTCCTCTCATGTGCAGGTCAGTCAAGTGAAGCTGCTGAACAGCTCCTGAAAGAAGCAGCCTTGAAAGCTGGTTGGTGGAAGGAGGTGCTCTCATGACATCTTCTGCTGAGGCACCCTGGGGCGCAGAGTTCAGCGTAAGTCAGAGAATCCCCTTGCAGGAAGGGGCTGGGGACAGACTGGAGCATCTGGCCAAACACTGTCACCCTGTAAATAACATGCCACACTTATAAATTAAAATATGACACAAATAAACTGCCAAGATATTATCCATTTAACAAGTAACATCCTTGATGCTGGATCACCATTTTTGTAGCTTGTTATTGGGTGATACATTGTTTGTGTGGCAGTTTACAATTTATTGCTCCTGATGAAGAATGTTTTCTATTTGAAAGCTTGTCTAATCTTATGCCATAGTTGGTCCAATAAAAGATATCACCCTAAGAAATCCCTGTCTCTTGCGCCATTAACACATTAATTGCACTTTAAATGTAGCATCTGCTAGGGGCCTTATAGGATCAACATCTTTCATTGCACTAACCGTAATGTATCCTCTCTCACTGCTAGCTCCATATCTATTTCAGAATAAGGGTAAAAGTTCTTATCCTCCCTGATTTAGTCCACCCTGAAGTTTTTCCCGCATACCTGTATGAGTTGGCAGTGTCATGTTTTTCCCTGTCTCACCCCAGAGCTATATCAGCAAAATCCCTTGGGCATATGTATCATACAGGCAAAAATCCTTTGTCAAGCAGAAGGTAGGGTAATCTGCACCTTGCAGACTAACCAAAGCAAAGATGTTTAGCGTAAGATTTTGTGAACCCAAGCTCTGTTTGTCAGATGCCTTTTTTTTGTCAGCATAAGATGTTCCATTTGGGAACAATTTAAGCTCTTCTGGCAAAAGAAGCCTTAACTCTGCTTGGGCTTGTTTGTAGCTAGATTGTCTTCAAAGGGTTTGCCAAAGCTATAGCCTTCCCTCCTGCTTCCTACCTAATCTTTGTTCTCTGCAAGCCCAATGACATTTCTTCTGTGAAAAGTCAGAAGTAATTCTGTGCTACAAGGGAAAACTTGCTGGGTGAGTGCTTTGTTGAACTGGGGCTGTTGTCTAGTACCTTGTAGGACTGAGTCCTTAGCTTTCACTGCCCACTCTTCTAATTGAAGCTCTTTTCCTGTGTCTCCATAGGCATGAATTTTTGGCATCATAATTCTTGTCTGTCAAACCTCTTTGCTATCTACTAGGGGTGTGCGAAGCAGGCTCTATTTGATTCTGATTCGGTCTGAATCGGGGACAGTGATTTGATTAGTTTATTCTGCTTCCTGCCACTGATTCAATTCATCTGAATCTGAAGATTTGATGCTGATTTGGAGAATCAGTGATTCAGACACAGCTTTAAAAGTTTTTTCTACATACCTTGAGGTAGCAGTGTGGCTTGTGAACGTTGTGATGCCAGGGCGGATGGAGCATCCCGCAGGAGTCTGAGGGCCTCTTCATGTGCTCAGTGGTGAACCCAGAACTTCTGGTACACTTCCAGGTCTGCCAGGGAGCATGTGGGTGGGGGGGGCCCTCCCCCTGCCCCCCTGGCTTGGCAATTGGCCACAGGGGGACCCTGGGTACCTCCCCCTGACCCAGGAGGCACCAGTTGCTGAGCCAGGGGAGTGGTGGGGGGGAGGGGCCCAGGGCACTCCTCAGCGGACCTGGAAGTGGACCAAAAGTGCTTCGGGTCTTCCGGGTCTGCTGCTTAGCATGCTGGGGAGCCCCCCGTGCTTTTGTGGGATGCTCCATCCACCCCAGCATTGCGGCATTCACGAGCCACCTGCTACCTAGAGGTATGTAGGAAAAAACATTTAAAGCTGTCTCTATGTTTTAATCTCTGAATTGATTTGGAGGGTTCTGATTTGATTCAGAGAGATTAAAGGGTCCTCTGGTTCACTTCAGATTCAGAGATTCAGCCACCAAATTGGTCTGAATCTCCGCTGAATCGAATCAAATCGGGGACCAAAGCTTCACACAGCCCTACTATCTACATATTTTCTCACACTTGCTTTCCCCCCCCCACCCCAGTTCCTGTACTTCTATGCTGTACTCTCTTATTTGCTCCTTTGACCTATTTCAAACTGTGTTTAACAATACCAAGTCTTATAGAATTTTCTTACTCTTAAAGTCTAGGGACAGACATTCAAAAAGCCTGAGCCTGAATTGATTCAATCTTTGTTAGTTAGTTTGCCTAGGCTGAATGGGTTTGAAACCACACAGACATCCCCTCTGGACTGAAAAAACGCTGGCACATGCCTGCAGTGGCTCAGGTTAGAAGCTGAGGGGTGCTAGAGCAGCCCTCACTTCCTTTCCAAAGTCCTGAGCTGAAGGGGGTGTGGCCAGGCCCTGGCAGGATGCTCTGATTGGAGAGGCCCCTCCCCCCTTGATACCAGAGCATTTATCAGCTCTGTTATCAGCATTTAGTGCCCCATCAGAAAACCAAGCCTCTGTCATTAGTTCAAGCTCTTCTTAAACAACTTGTTCCTAGGAAGGAGGGGAGGGACATTACCAGCTACCTGTTGGTTAGCTCTAGAAAGACCTAAACTGACGTTGTCCTGTCTGCCTTATACAGACACCTCTCAGCATTAGCTAGCATACCACATGCTGGCTATGGCCCATGTTATGTGAGGGAGGGAAGGGGGATCCATGCTTGAGCTGCAAGTGGCTCAGGGGGCAGAGTGGGGAGGGACAGGGGAAGCCAAGCAGACACTGCTGTGCCTGCGAGTCTCTGTTGGAGCTCCAGCAAGGGAGAAGAGGGGAGGGGCCAGCCCAGCTTTCTGGAGCAGAGAGTCCTGCCTGGCCCAGAGAGCATGCTGGGATTCTGGAGGAACTTGAATTTAACTTAAGCCAGGAAAGGGGGCTGGGACAGATATTGCATAAACCAGTTTGACCCAAATCAGTTAAACTCGGTTGAATGTAGTATCAGACTTATCTCAGACTGGTTTCAGCCATTTTCAAACTGGTTTATGTGCACTGAATGTCTGTTTTGTTACAAGTTTTTAAACCAGTTTCTGATTGCACAAACTGGTTTATGCGTAATGTCTGTCCCTAGCCAAATGTCTGTCTTGTTTCT